GATCTGCACAGTTCAAAGAGCCTGTGTCTGTGTGTGTGTGTGTATGTGTGTGTATACTGTCTCTCTCTCTCTCTCTCTCTCTCTCTCTCTCTCTCTCTGTGTGTGTGTGTGTGTGTGTGTGTGCGTGCGTGTGCGTGTGTGTGCGCGTGTGTGCGCGCTACTGGGTTTGTGTTTCTGACGCCTGTCAGCTGCAGACTGGAGATCTGACCCTCAGAAACTCAACACCCGCCTGGAAATGAAATACTTTGCACTCTCACTAATTGGTACTTACTGCAAGTTCAGCACTTAGAGCGAGTGTTCTTATACAGTTTATTTCATTCATTCATTCATTCATTCATTCATTCATTCATTCATTCATTCATTCATTCATTCTTTCTTTCTTTCTTTTATTCATTCATTATTTCATTCTTTGACTTATTCATTAATTAATTTACACATTCAATAATTCATTCATTCACTCATTCACTTATTCATATTTTTATTCATTCATTCTTAAATTCTTTGACTTATTCATTATTTAATTTACACACTCAATCATTCATTCATTCACTCATTCATCTACTCATTCATTAATTCATTAACTCATCCATTAATTAGTTAACTCATTCATTTACTCACAAATTACTTCATTATCTCTTTCATTCCTTAATTCATTAATTAATTTACAGATTCATTTGTTCATTAATTAATTTATTTACTCATGCATTGATTTACTCACCCATTTACTCATTCATTCATTCACTCATCTACTCATTAATTCATTTATTATTTCACTCATTCACTCATTCACTCATTCATTCATTTATTCTTTCATTCATTCACTCCTTTATTTATTCATTCATTTACTAATTCACTCATTCTTTCAATCATTCATTCATTTATTCGACAATTCATTAACTCTTTTATTTATTAATTTACTGATTTATTCATTTATTTACTCACTCCTTCACTAACTCATTCATTTATTCAATAATTCGCTCAAGTTCATTCATTCATTCATTCATTCATTCATTCATTCATTTATTCATTCATTCACTTATTTACTCATTCATTCATTTACTCTTTCATTCTTTAATTAATTAATTTACTCATTTAATTATTCACTCACTCATTTACTTATTCTTTTATTAATTAGTTTTTTCATTTATTTACTCTTTTATTCTTTAATTAATTAATTAATTCATTCATTCATTCATTCATTCATTCATTCATTCATTCATTCATTCATTCATTCATTCATTAATTCACTCATTCATTTATTCATTTATGCCTTCATTCATTTACTCTTTAATTCTTTAATTAATTTACTCATTCATTCATTCATGTACTCTTTTTACTGTTAATTAATTCCTTAATTTTCTAATTTATTTATTCATTCATGTGTGTATGTGTTTGTTTAGGGTGCAAACGCTCTGGTGACCTACGCCATCATCAGCGGTGCGGACGATAGTTTCCGCATCGATCCAGAATCCGGTGAACTTAGCGCCACCAGGCGTCTGGACCGCGAGCGCCGGTCGAAGTATTCTCTGCTGGTGCGGGCGGACGACGGGCAGCAGTCCTCCGACATCTGGGTCAACATTACCGTCAGTGACATCAACGACCACACGCCCACTTTCAGCCGCTCCGTCTACTCATTCGACATCCCAGAGGACATGAGTCCAGGTACAGCCCTCAGCCAATCACAACTCACAATCAGCACTCCTGTAACAGTGTGCACTAAACTACATTACCCATGATGCTGTACTGATGATTTCAGCCAATCAGAGTCTATGATGTTCTGTTGTGTGTTTCTCCATTTAGGCTCGATTGTGGCAGCGATTCTGGCCAGTGATGGTGACTCTGGTGTGAATGGCGAGATCACGTACTCAGTGGAGGAGGATGATGAGGACTCCACCTTCCTCCTGAACCCCATCACCGGTGTGTTCAATGTGACGCGAGCGCTGGACTTCGAGACGCAGCCGTTCTTCATCCTGACGGTGCGGGCTGCGGATGGTGGCGGCCGCTCCAGCTCGGTGCGGGTCTACTTTAATCTGCTGGACGTCAATGACCATCCACCGCTCTTCAACAGCTCCGTCTACACCACATCCATCCTGGAGAGTCTGAGTGCTGGAGCCTCTGTCCTCACTGTGAGCGCAGCGGACCGAGACCACGGTAACAGCTCTACTCTACTCAATTCTGTTCAGTTCCATTCAGTTCATTTCTATTGAGTTCAGTTCAGGTCATGTCAAGTCAGTTCCATTCAGTTCAGTTCAGTTTAGTTCATTTCAATTCAGTTCTTGACTTCAGTTCCATTCCATTTAGTACCATTCCATTCCATTCAGTTCAATTTAATTCAATTCAATTCAGATCAGCTAAGTTCAGTTCAGTTCAGTTGTTTAATTAAATTCTATTCCATTCAGTTCAGTTCTGTTCTGTTCAGTTCAATTGAGTTCAATTCTGTTCAGTTCAGTTCATTCAGTTAAGTTCAGTTGCGTTCCATTCAGTTCAATTCAGTTCAGTTCAGTTCAGCTCAGCTAAGCTCAGTTCAGTTCAGTTCAGTTCAGTTCAGTTCAGTTCAGTTCAATTCAGCTTAGTTCAATTCAGTTCAGTTCAGTTCAATTCAGTTAGGCTAAATTAAATTAAATTCAGTCCAATTCTATTCCATTCCATTCAGTTCAGTTCAGTTCAGTCCATTCAGTTCAGTTCAGTTCAGTCCATTCAGTTCAGTTCAGTTCAGTTCAGTTCAGTTCAGTTCAGTTCAGTCCATTCAGTTCAGTTCAGTTCAAATCCATTCCATCAAATTCCATTCAATTTAATACAATTGTGTTCTATTAGGTTCGTTTAAATTGCATTTAATTCCATTCAGTTCACTTCTATTTTATTCAGTTCCATTAAACTGAATTTAATTCCATGCGATTCCATTCAGTTCAATTCCATTCGATTCCATTTCTTTCAGTTCAGTTCAATTCAAATCTATTCCATTCTGTTGAGTTCAGTCCAGTTGAATTTCATTCTAATATATTCAGTTCCATTAAATTCAATTTAATTCCATTCAGTTCCATTCCATTCAGTTTAATTCAGTTCAGTTCAATTCCATTTCACTCAATTTAATTCAATTCAGTTCAATTTGATTCAGTTCCATTCCGTTATGTTCAGTTCACTTCCATTCTGTTCAGGTAAATTTCATTTGATTCCATCATAGCTTTAGCTTTGGTTTACGAAAATAACCATGTGTGTGTGTGTGTGTGTGTGTGTGTGTGTGTGTGTGTGTGTGTGTGTGTGTGTGTGTGTGTGTGTGTGTGTGT